GTTGATTTGAAATCAGTTAATTGGTTTATGTGGTTTTTGTTCCAATGGAACATTAAAAGTACATATATCCCCAGCCTGAGAAACATAGAGAGACCCTGTTTCTACAAAAAATAAAATAATTAGCCAGGTGTGGTGGGGTGTGCCTGTAGTCCCAGCTACTCAGAAGACTAGGATGGGAGGATCACTTGAGCCCAGGAGTTTGAGGTTGCAGTGAGCTATGATGATACCACTATACTCTAGCTTGGACAACAGAAAGAGATCTTGTTTCAAAAAACAAAAAAACAAAAAAAAAAAAAACAAAAAACAAAAAAGAAGTACATATACACAATAGTGGTTCAGGGGCTCAGAAAAAGAGGTCAACAAAGAAGATTCTGCAGCTGTCATCATATAGGGACAATTAAAACTATGAGAGTAGATAAGATTGCCTATGGGAAAAACCATGGCCACTTAAGATTATACCAGGTCACAATCTAATCCAACTTGATCAGATTTTCCTTTTGGGATGATCTCATTCAGGTGATTTCTGAGAATGAATTAGAAAGGAAATACACTAGTAGCAAAGAGACTAAATACCAAATTACAACACAAATATGACAAAACAAAACAACATACAAGTAGAATGTAATCAAGGTTTTATACTATCTTAAGCCAGTACTGCAGGACCTAATAGGTTTCGCTCTTTTTGGAGCTCATCAGCTGCAGGTAACGGCTCAAATTTACTCTGACACAGTATACTTGTACAACATTTCACTATTTACAAAGTCTCCAATTCAGAGTCTTCTACTTACTATATCCTGACAATTCTTGGGAGTTTCCTCAGCGTTATCTTAAAGACACTTTACACTTAGGTCTCAAGGGCTTCGATGGGGCAAAGTACCACATAATTCTTTTTGTTAAAATCCCCAAAAGCTGAGTAGGTGAGGAACAACGCAATTGTCCACAGCCTAGGCTGTCATCTGTCCTACCAGATGGTCTCCTCTATTCTTAGAACTATTGCAGCACAGATCCAACCATATTGATGCTTAGGTCTCTAGTTGTCCAGAGAATCCTGTTGGTCCTGACATCCCTGGCCCTCTTATCTCTAAATTGAGCAATTTTTAAATTCCTTTTCCTTTAATGTTTCTGGTAATAAATCTAGAATAAAGGTTAATTTGAGACAATAAGGAACAAAATAAAATTAATTGATACACAAAAATCTTTGAGCAGAACATTTTATTGTAACATTTCCTGAGGATACACTGTATAGTCTGTGTAGATGTACATAAATATATACCAAATACTGGCATCCAGGGGGCAAAACCAAGTGTATGGTAAGCTATCATCTGTGGTAAAATGTGGTGAAGAAGGACTATAAACACATATTTACTTTTATATGCAGAAAATACCTCTAGTAATTTTAAGAACTGGGTGGTTGTGGGATAAGAGATGGGAAAGAGACTTTATTGTATACAATTTTGAATTTTGAACCATGTGGATATCCAAAAAATAAAATTTAACATATACTTGCACCCTTCTCCTATGCAATTAGCTGTGATTGCCAGGTGGTACTTGATAGGACCATGTGTGGAACTCACGAGGCCAATTGTCTTTGTTCTTGTGGTTCTAAGAGTTTTCTTTATTATCCTCAGAGTCTTCAGAACCAAAGCCCCATGGCAAAATAATATTTCAGTTGTATTAGCAACTACTTAGTGTAAAACTTAACTGCTTTAAGACTAAAAAAAAATTAACTCCTCACAAAAATACTTCCTATAACTTTCCTTCATAGTTTCTCACCTTCCTTAATGAAATAACATCAAATGACCAGACTGAAGAAAGCTAGGAAAGAAAGGAGAAACATGAAAATGATATTACTGAAAATAATATAAAAGAAAGCTCAGAGAAGAATCTATGAAAGAAGGAAGAAACAAGTAAAAAATGGAAAAGTGTGAAGGTAAATTTGTAGCACTGTATTTTAGTGGCTCATGCAGCAAATGGAAAGGTTTATTTATAGTCATTACATTAAAAGAATGGCAGGTAAGATTTAACATTAAAGGTATGAAATGGATTTGTGAAACCCAAACTAAAATTTATCTCATCACTTTATAGCCATTGCCAGGTCTCTGGGAATTCACCAGCCTCACATCATCTTAATGATGCTTATTCTGACATTCAAGGAAGAAAATAATTATCAACAACCAAAATTTGTTTTAAAAAATCATGATTTAAAAAAAAATCATGATTTTGGTGGCTAGAAGAAAATGTTCACAGCTAACTTGTGGACAAAGACAATGCAAAAAGAATCTACACTATATTTCTCACATCTCAAGTTCAACATGAACTCATTTTTACTTTAGTTCTAATCAGCCAATGTGCACAAATATGGCTGTACTTATGGTTTACAGCCAGCATCTATCTGTTCCGGTTATTGGTGCCTATGGTATTCCAGCTGTTGAATATTTTGAATATCATTCTTAGCTCTAGCATCATACATCCACAAACCTTATGTGGCCTAACTGATACTTCTAGGTAGGCCAAGGACTAAGCCTGTGAAAATGCATGCAGAACCTACAACTGAGCATGTCCATGACACTTGAACATGTCCATTAAGGCGTCAAGCTAATAGTTGATTTTGGTAGCTTCTAGAGACCAGGGCTTGGTGACCCCCAATCAAACAAGTGTGATTCTGAAAGAAATATTCTTAAGTACTGAAGGATATACTCTTTCTCAAGTATTGGTCAGAATAAGGGAACTGCAGAATTGGAAGGGAGATTGTCAGTCAAATTTCCTGTCTATTGCAAAAATCTCCTTCAGAATATGTGAATCCAGTTAAGTCTTTACTTGAGCATCTCCAGTGATAGACATTCTCTTATTTGGAACTTCTCAAAGATAACTTCTCAAAGATAAGTTCTTCCAGAGAATATCTGTGTCACCTTTTCTCAGTCACCGGAGGACCACTACCATTTCAAAATCACTTTAAATAAATTCTCAGCTTGAAGTTTTATAAACACCCACTTAGTATAAATCTGGGCTACAAACTCAAGGCAAAGCTTTCTTATAACTATGAATTTTAAATGGAGACAACATTAAGGTTTGAGAGAGGCAATTTTCCTTGCAGTCCCCTAAAAAGGGAGATGAGCTTATTTCTCGGTCACCCTAATACTGAGGGTATAGTCCTTTGGGAATCCCAAATTTATTGGTGTAAAGGGGAGGGGACTTCAATTAGATCTTCCACCTTCAATCAGAACCAAGGATTTGTCTCCTGACATCTGAGCCCCATGAAGCTATAAAGCTATGAAAATTGATTCGGCAAATGCCCTCAAGGCTAATGCCTTCTTCAGTACTCTTACTTCTCTGCATTCCTTCCTTCATTTAGTTTTTGGCTTGAGCATTCCATATTTTATTTCTAGCAAATTAATCCAGCATTTTAAATTATTTCCACCTGGAGGATTGGTCCAGGTACCAAGTCTGCCCTATTACCAGAAAGAGAAGCTCTAAATAGTACCTTCAAGCATACGAGAATAGTAAATGTATGCTAGGAAACTATGCCTAAGTGGTTAGGATTGTTTCTTCTATCTCCCTAAACATCATCTCCTATATTTAATCCATCATAACAAATCCTATTGATCAATTCTGCCTTCAAATCTCTGATTTATTCTTAAATACTCGATTCTATTGCTATCATCCTAATTCTGGGCCTTATGATGTCTTTTTAGCTAAGCTAGAGGTGCTGCAGGGATCTAAAACTTAGCCTGCACACAATTAAGAGTTTATGCTTCCTAAAATATTGCCTTTGTTATTTGTTATAATATATTTGTCACCTCTTAAAGAAATCATCATCACCCTCTACTTAATAGTGGGTTGAGCCTCCAAATGTTATCCTTCCAGGATTTGGTCCTACTTTGCCTATCCAAGCACAGATTCTCAGCCAAAATAGGTCTGTCTTTTCTTTTCCCCTTACCTAAGCCATGTGTATTTGATTCATGGTCTTATTATCCGAATTATACCAATCCTTTCAGGGCTTTCATTTGCAAAGTTTTCCCTGATAATTCCCAACATGCTCTCTCGGCTTTCTGATTTCCCTGATACTTTGTGGAGGCAGTAATTATTTTAATTAGTTTGACTCAATTTGATATAATTCTTTAATATTTGGAGTTAAGCTATAAGTAGCTTACCTAGAATTCTAACCTAAGTCTGATTCCAAAGTTTGTGTTCTTTCTAATATATAAAACTCTTCTCAGTATTCAATAAATCCTTTTTGGTTTGCATAAGAAATAAACCAGACTCTATAATTCAGATGTAACGATGCTTTACATTTAACTGGTTTATCTCAGGTTGGTTGGAACAAAGCAGAATCTTAAATGGCATTATAATTCTTAAACTTTATTCATTTAAGTAAATTTCTTACCAAATCCCCTCAAAAAGAATTCTGTAGCAGCTTACCAATAAAAATAAACATTAGCTCCTCCAAATGTAATTACCTACTCTCTAAAATTCAAATCAAACTACAAAACCACTCTTCAGGGTAAATACTACCCCTAAAATTATAAGCCTAAAGAAATGGCTTACACATCTAGAAGTTCACACTAGGGACCACTCCAATATTAAGGAAAACATACTAAAAGCCTAGTTTTATAAATTATTCAGATGTTGATAAACAACCAATCTAGTTAAAATAGGCTGCATTACACCAAATTTACCTAATTTACTTTATAACAAAGTTTATCTGTAGGCTAGACTTCAATAATCATGACAGTGACTGTTATTTGTAATGCAGAAGTTTTTGCTTACATTAACTTTTTGCTTTCACCTCTATTTCTAAGTAATATAAGAAATCAAACTGAGTCTCAAATTATCTCAAATAATTTGTGGGGTTGGCTTTAAAATAAAAATAAAAGAGCCCTCTTGGCATGTAGAATTTTGGAAAATGGTTGCTTAATTCTAGGCCAAAAAAGGGAGAACAGACTGGGAAAAGTAAACTATTCTTAGTATTTCTATCATAGGACAGTGTTTGTCTCTCTTACCTTTCCTGTCCCGTCCTTCATCAACACATATTGGCAGACTTCCTAGGGCAATGCAGAAATCCAGACAAGAGAAGGAAGCACACTAAAATAATGGAGGATAGGCTATAGAAGATGGACAGTGTCAGACATCATGGGGGAGAAAAGAATTATCACAGTTAGCCACTTTGTTTAAGAGAAACTAAAACTGGTCATTTCAAAGGTAAAGAGACAAGAAAAAAAACAAAGAAATCTTTTACTTATTTGTAGCAAGGATCCTTTCAATAAGAACAGAGGAGAGCTGGTATTAATTTGGAAATTTGCCTTCAGAGGAAAGGATATAACTTAGCAAACAGTACAAAAGGACAAAAGATAAATAAGACTCTCCAGTATAAAAATGTTAATCAAGAGATAATTATAGGCTTTGAGAAAAGAAAAAAAATAAGAACTATAATCTAGAAGCAATTAAGAGAGAGTTATTGTCTTCTCCAAGAATACAGCAATAGGAATCCCAATGTTTATATATAAAAATGGTGAATGAGGCATATGCACTTAAGTTTTCTTAATTACATGGCCTTACACTATGAAAAGCAACTATACTGTCACATTTAACAATGGAGTTCTAGAAAATTAACAAAGTAGCCCCAATGAGGAGTGTTTTCACATCAGGGACAATCTTCTGCACATATTTGCATGGTGTGAAATAAAATATCTCCTCCACCTCTGCCCTAATATCTGCCCCATCTAGACACCACATTGGTTGAAATCTCACCATTGGGAGACAAGAGTTCTTCAGATTTAATATAGCCTTTGTAACTTAGTGTTTTATTTTCACCCAAATGCAAGATGCTAGGAAAGTTTGAAGCTATTCATATTAACAGTGTGATTTTGTTTGTTTGATTGTTTTCTTCATGATTTGAGGTCATTTATAAAAATGGATACTTTAGATGGATCAAGAGATATGAAAAGGGGCAAAAGAACATACAGAACCTAAGAAAAACTATTTCACAACCTTGGGTACAACCAGTTGCTTTGTTATGAAAACATTATAGGTTAAATCCTTTGCATGTGAGATTTAAGCATTTCTTTAAAATTAATGCTTAATTTCAACAAAATTAACTAAAGTCATAACATTTCTAAACAAGGTAGATGACATTTTTATCAAGGCTAAATTTTCTGTAAAAGGCAATTTGTGTAAAAAATGAATTCATTTAAAAAATTTAAGTGCTTTTGTCAATTTTGATAACATCTGAATAGTCCATGCAAATTTGTTAAATAAAATGCATACCTCATACTCTTTTCTGCAAACTTTGGAAATATCATTCTTTGAAGATGCCTAAAAGCCAATAAATTTCTCCATTAATTTATTATACATGCTATTCAGCACAGGACAAAAAAGAAAAAAATTAGTATATGTTAATTGCTAATATAGTATTTTTTATTTTATCAAGAAAAATCTTATGTTCAAATATTTAAAAATCCCTAAAATACAACAAACACATTTCATGTAATTTCTTTAAAACAAACATCACCCCCAGGGCCTACTAAATATTCTAGAGCTTCACTCTAACTCTTAGGGCTTTAATCTCACATAATACATGGTCCTTTTGTTATTTCAGAAACTAGATGACTTTGAAGGAAATGTAAATCAGAGGACTTTTTAAGAGCTGAATTCCACTCTGTAGCAAATTTTCTTGTGAAGCTCTGCCACAGCAAATTTTCTTGTGAAGCATTGCCAGGGCACTTATATTTTGCTTGTTCTTTAACCCTCCACATTCTAAGCTTTCAAACTGAATTTATTCAGCCAATTTCCTCAGAAAAGTGCCATATATAATGGAGGGGCAACTAAAGAGAGAAAGTGTGCTATGCCAGGCAATTATCAAAAGTTATTTTAGGTAAGTCTCTTAACAAGTTTATGAAGAAGATATTAACCCCTCTAGAGAAGATGAAGAAACCAGTGCTCAGAGAAATAGCATGTTATTTACCATATTTAAATATGTACTTTCTATATAAAAAAGCCAAAATAAATCTGCTGGGGGGTGGTTATTCTTCCAGATGACATGAGTCTCTAGAGATATCAATCCAGAGTCATGGGCTCTGATTTCTTGTTTCAGTCCTCCTGTTCTATCAGCTAGGCCCATGCAATTCATAACAGATCAGCCGATGAGGCCAGTGAGAGCAAGAAGCAGAATGGGCTGGCAACTGCTTTATGTCCTGCTAGACCCATTATAGTTCAAATCCTCCACAACTCAGTTTCATCTCAATGCCTGGAAGAGAGCAGCAGATAGCTAGGCCATGTGGTGCCAAAGAGTGTTACTCAGGCTATATAGTACAGTGGTCTATGTGAAAGTGAAGGTGATACTGTGTCTCGTATACTCCTGTCATGAGACAAGTCCCCAGAAAAAGAAAATAAGAGAAGACTTTCTAGCTGTAGTTTCAAGTTCATCTAAATAATCATTTCTAGTTTCCCAGTTACTTCTACTCCTGCCACTTGGAATGGAGGAGCCAGGAAGTCAGATTTCCCATTCTGAGGAACCACTATTAAAACATGCACAGTGAGGAAGAACTCAGGGGCCTAAGGTGAATCAGAGTAGAGATATATCAAATCAAAGAAGTCATAACTCACTATAAGAGTCACACTAATCTTAGGAGCAGAGAATAAATATAAGAACACGATCAGAGTAAAGCCATGATGAAAGAGAGAAGGGAGATAAAACAAAATAAGCCAACAGTGTCAACTGTTCTCATTCAAGCATTCCCTAAATTTACATGACCATTTGGAGTCACTCAGCATTGACTCAGCATGACCATAAGCAAAGTACAAAAGGCCTCAATTCTTTCTTTGTGTGACAGAAAGGAAAGATGAGAAGGAATAAGAGAAGGCTGAAGTAATATGCAGCAACCATAACTGAAAATGCAGCAAGTCTAAAAAGAGATGGTTTATGCAAGAAATACTAAATTTGTAGTTTTTGAGTCACCTCTTCAAAGCCATGAGGTGGGAAAGGCCCAATTCATATGCACAGCTAAAACCCAAACTGCACTCCATGATGCTTAAGAGCCTGACTGTCCAGCATTACCTGCTTGCATGCCTGTCGACACTCCAAGGCAATAGCCAGTTCACAGCAGCCTAAGCCAACCCAGCCATCAGACTTCTTAAACACACCTTAAAAACAAAATGTTCAAATGCTTAGGTCAAAAGTAGCAACAAAAACAAACAGCACACCAAATTGTTTCGTGGATACCACTAAAAGTCAAAGCAGGTGTCCACCAGAAAACTAGCTCAGACAAGCAGGGCCTCAAAATTATTAAGCCCTTCCCTTCACCCCTATGCTCAATGCCGTCACAGTCTCCTTAGAGTCCCTCACAGAATAATTATCAGGTCCTTTATTTTTTCTCTCTTGTCCCTCCTACCTTACATTTTCTAAGTCATTCTTATTCTTGGGTAGATAGCATCTCTATCAGAGGACGTACAGGGTCAGGAAAGCAAAAGAGAGGCTTTCCTTACTTTGAAAAGGTGAAAAATTTATACAATCTGAAAAGAAACTGAAGTATGCCTTCCTCACTTTTAGACTGTGAATCTGAGGCAAAGATTCTAATTTAACTTAACAAGCAAACAAACAAAAAAGGGCACAAATATTATTGTATTCAAAATATTAAATACCTATAATAGCATAAAACCCATGATCCTGCTTAAAAACTGATACTTAGTAAACAGGCAGGAAAATTTTCTATGAACCTGGCCTGGCTTTGATGGGCACACTTACTCATGGGGCAAAATAACTATGTACTACCCTGGTTCAATTTATGTACAGCAGTGATTTCTCCAACCAAACTACTGTGAAACCAAAAGATGATAAAATTATAAACAGTGTTCTAATTTGTTTTTTTAGATGCCTTTTGCAATCATGAATGTCAATGAATGACTCTTAAGACAAAACTAGGAGATTTAAGAAATAATTATGAACAGAGAAAAGACTTATGCTTATAGGGATGCTGTTAATTCCTCCTTATCTCCTTTACAAATTGCTTTATGTTGCATCTATGTAATACATAAATATGCAAATCCACATTTGCATTAGATTATAATTTACATTTGAAAAATACGTCAGGGATTCAAGGCAATAAGTAACATAGTTTTCCAAATGAAACTAGGACTTAATACAAATAGAAGCATTCTGCTAAAAAACAAAATAAACAAACAAAAGCAAAGGAATTATTCACAGATAGACAAAGCTCTCAAAATATAAACAATAAATTGCTGGCTGGGCATGATGGCTCATGCCTATAATCCTAGCACTCTGGGAGGCTGAGGCAGGAGGATTGCTTGAGCTCATGAGTTCGAGACCAGCCTGAGCAACAGTGAGACCCCATCTCTACCAAAAATAGAAAAATTGGCTGGGTGTCTTGGTACACGCCTGTAGGCTCAGCTACTAGGGAGGCTGAAGCAAGAGGATCACTTGACCCCAGTCATTTGAGGTTTCAGTGAGCTATGATGACACCACTGTATTCTACCTAGAGTGACAGAGACGGTCTCAAAACAATAAAAAAATAAAATATAAACTGCTTACAAAGTTGATTAAGTATAAACTCCCACAATTGTAAAAACTGACTAAAAATATTTCATATTACAAGCTTATCTGTATGTGTTAAGGGTACAAAGGACAATAGAATTTCATCTAGCCTCATTGCCTACTAAAGTTTCCTCTAATTCTTTGCTGCTTGCTCTTCAGAATCACTCACATTTCAGAAAGAATTTTAAATGGAATCAATGTAGGTCATAAACTTTGTGAGCTGTTATACCATAATATAGTATATTGCTGCTTCCATGTACCCAATGACTTCTTAGAAAATATTAAATCATAAGCATTTACATTTATTGAGCTCCTCCTCATGTACAAGGTACTCTATTAGGTCTATGTGGGCTATGAAATTATGAAATAGATAAAATATATGATTTATCCCATTATGGAGATTACAGTTTAGTAGAAACAATGTGTGTGGTGTGTGTGTGTATGTGTGTATATGTGTGTGTGTGTGTGTGTGTGTGTGTGTATGTTTATAAAATTCCAGGACAGTAGGTAGAGGGATAACTAGGAGAACAGACAAGGAAGTGGACAATTCCAGGAAGGCAAATAACCCAATTTGTTTGAAATGAAAACTGCAAACAGCATGAGAGCTGTTAGATTTCAGAGATACATAAGGTATACTCCTTTTTTTGAAAAAGGAGTATATATAGAGTAATTTTCAAAAAAATTACTCTAACCAGGGCTGGAAATGAGCTGCAATCCTAGAAAACAGTGAATGTCAGGCTAGAGACTATGGGCTTTATTTCAATAAAAGTAGATATCCCCCAAGGGCTTCTTTTTGAAAGGGATGGGGAGAACAGATATAATGTGTTGAAACATCAGTTATAAGGTTGTTATAATATTCTATCCCAAGAGTGTAATAATAAAAACTTGAACTAGGAGTAGAGAGGACAAATATAAGATTTTGCAAGGGGAAAGTCAATGGAACTAGAAACAAAAAGGAATCAGAGACAACTTGAGGGATTCTAGGTATAGTGTCATTCACAAGAGGTGCAGTTATGAGGCTGATTTGAAATTTGCACTTCAGATGCCACCTGGATGCAGAGATCCACGTAGAGATGGCTATAGAGATGTCTAGAAGTCACAAACAATGATTCAGATTTGAGAGTTACTTCTCAGGGTTGATTAGGTAACAGTTCTTGGAAGGAATGAGATTATCAGAGTGAGTATGAATAGAGAAGGGAAGAAGACCACACACTGGAATAATTACAGTTTTTATTGGAGAAAGAAGGTAAGAAAGAATAAAGTTCTGAGGCTAAGGTGGAGTCATAAGGAAGTAGTGGTCAACAATAATATCAAGTGTTGCAGGAAAGTAGTGCTGAGAAAAAGTCATAAAATCTAGGAACCATGAGATCCTGGTGATCTTTCAAAAGATTACTTTCAGCAGAAGGACAGAAGTGGAGACAAGAATACAAAGTTACGGATTGAGTGAATAAGAATAAATTATATATTTGAAAATGTGGGTGGTGAAAGAAAGAAGAGGACAGAAATTCCAGAGTACAATTTAGGTTATAGGACTATGGCACAGATTTTATGTTCACAAAAGAAATTTTTAAAATTAAATTGCTAAATGTTACACTTCTATTGCTTACCTGGCAAAGATGAATTCATACAACTCCAAATTTCAACCTAAAATTATAATCAATAAAAGGCTTTTATTTAGATAACCAGTTCTTA